CAGTACATCAGACAGAAGACTTAATATGTATGGGCTTCTGGAGCTATATTTAGTTTTAACATCAGTTTAAAACATGGCAAGCTTCTGGTTTTATACAGGGAAATAGACAAAACCATGCCCTAATGCAGAAGCATAGGCAAGGTTATCTGCTGGCCTCTTACTAAGCTCTTTGTTAAGACATGGGCAACTGTTGCACAAGGCGTGGAATGGCTGAGACAGTACAGTGATTTTAAAGGTTACCAAGGTCAGCACTTTTCATGCCCTGAACATCAGTGTGAAATCTAGTTTTTAAACAAAAGGGACAATACAAACTTTTAGCAAACTGATACACAGAATGTAAAAAGTGCTGCCACATCAATACACCAGAATCACCAATGGCAGCACTTTTCATGTCCTGCACAACAGCATAAAAACAAATTACTCCACACAAAAAAAAAAAAAAAAAATATATATATATATATATATATATATTTATATTATTTAGCAAATAGTTGTGTAGGGTGTGATAAGTGCTGCTATGCCAATGATCTCCAAAGTCTCTGGGGCAGCACTTTTCACATCCTGGATTACATAATAAAAAACAAATAATACAATCTTTAAGCAAACTAAAAATGACTGTGTGGGTGGTTACATTTCTCACACGCATTTTAAAGTCACATCCTGCAAAACAGAATAAACAGCATAAAAAACCCAAAATATTTTAGCAGAACAGTTATACAGAGTGCAAAAAGCGCTGCCATGCCGGTATTGGTATTCAAATTCACCAACCTGTAACAGCATAGAAAAAAAAAAAAAAATCCTATAAAATGTTTTTAGCAAACTGATGAGCTGATAAAAGTACCAAATTATGGTGGTGTTTATGTGGGATTGTCATATTTATAGCATACCAGTTTAGAGCACAATAGTTCCCTTATTTGCTATCCTTAAATATGGGAATTCCATGCAAGGATAGTAAATTAGGAAATTATCTATTAAAAACAACTGACAGATCAAAATAAAGAAAAGGACATTTCTTAAAGAGACACTCCTGGCACCCAGACCACTTCTGCCCATTGGAGTGATCTGGGTACCAACTCCCACTACCCTTAACCCTGCAATGTAATTATTGCAGTTTTCATAAACTGCAATATTTACATTGCAGGGTTAAGTCCTCCTCTGGTGGTTGTCTAGCCACTAGAGGAGACTTCTGTGTTCATAGAACACGAAAAGTGGTTTAAAACGATGATTATTCAAGGCTTTCTTATGGGGAGGTTTAATGCGTGTGCGCGGCCACTGTTGCGCATGCACATTAGGTCTCCCCCGCCGACGGCCATGCATGCGCATTAGGTCTCCTCCGTCGGCTGTAGTCATCGGGGGAGGAGCGTAGGCAGAGCTTGACCCAGCACCGAGGGACAACAGGAAAGCAAACCTTGTGCAATCAGTAACCTTTTCCTATAGATGAATCTTACTTCAGACTATGGTGAGGCCTAATAGAAAGCAGAGACAGGAGATGTATTTGTAATATTGTTAAGCGAGCAAAGCAGGAAGGGGAATTTTATAACAGGACAGGAGGCTTCCTATTTTGCATTAACTCTCTTTACTAAACTCCACAGCAGTAAAGAAAAACGTAAAGAGTAACAAATAAATCACTGAGCAGCATAGTATATAAGGGTCATGCTGCCTGTACACTTCCTCTTTCTTTACTGCTCCATCGCAGACAGGTCAGAATATCTGCTCCTCTGGAGCTTTATACATTTATTGTCATTATCTGTTACATTCTATTGTTATTATCACTATTATTACTTTAATTTATTTCTGTTCTGTACTGGGCTGTGGGACTAGGGGCTCTCTGTGGGTTTCTACCCTCTTATCTGCCCCTCTGTTCATTTTGGGACCCTCCCTGGGCCACCCCTCGGTCTCCCCAGGTCCCACCACTGCCCCCCTATCCTGGAGTGCCCTCCTGGGCTCCCTCCTTGCGGCCAGAATCGTTCGCGGCCGTTTTCGCGCCGGCCTGCTTCTGCCCGCGGCCGGCCTCAAAATTTAGTCCCCAGCTTGCGGCCTACACTCGCGGCCGCCATTTTGGATCGCGGACATCGCGAGATTCACGCGGCCATCTTAGTTTTGCCTCGTGCATCTCATTAGGGACTCAGTGTGGCTGTGCTAACTTGCTGTTACCTCTGCATTGCTGTTTTTCACACCTTTTGTGTCTCACTCCCCTGTGACTGAAGGATTACCTGCTCAGCACTCCATCTAGCTGCTATCACTCTGCTACTCAGCCTCTGTGCCTCATCTGCTTCTATCAAGCTATATCCTGTGGCTGGGTCAGTCAGGTCAGTGCTGCTGCCTGTTTATTATTGTGACCTGCACTTAAGGGTCCCAACCCTGTGCAACCGGGGTGAGCCCCCACTATAAATACGCTGCTTACTGGGAGACTAGCTGTTGCAGTTCTCTCTAACTGGGTGAGCCCCAGTTTATAAGGTCACTACTATACCCTGCTGCGGTTATTCTGGGCTTGGTCCCACCATACTATCAAATCTGACCCTACGCCTATTATCAAGACCTGGGTGCCCGTTTATTGCTGTGCCTTTCAGTGACGTATCAGCCTACCCTAACATGGAAGATTCCCAGAACATCCCTGTGGACTTCCAGGCTATGATTAACGCAGCTGTCGCTGCCTCTGTGGAGAAGGCACTCTCCAAGGCCCGAGCTCCGGCTCCTGACGTACCAAAAACCCGCAGACGTACACGCCACGAATCGGATTCAGACTTGTCCGACTACCAGACAAGGGATGACTCCCGCCCTAAAAAGCGCCGTGACAAAGGCGAGGATTATGCACCCAAACCGCCTAAGGGTAAGGCACCTGCCAAGCGCAAATCTGCCAAACTACACACACCGGCCCCGCGTCAGGAGTACTTTTCAGACGAAGAGCAGGGCCCTGCCCAGTCCATGTCAGTGCTGGATGAATGGCAAGCTGACGCTTCTGAGTCGGACTACGACGCATGGGGCTCGGACGAGAAATCTGTCTCCGCTTTCATGCGGGAGACCCTCCTGGGTGCTGCCCAGACTGGAGGTGTTGAGGACACTGCGGACGCAGAACCTCCTCTAGACTCAGACACCATTTTGGACCCCTCAGGTCAGGCGATGTTCGACCCCCGCAACATACGGCACCCCAGATCGGGTGACTGGTCAACTCCAGAACACCTTTCCAGGTTTATGCACCTGTGGCTCCGCAAGCCTCTGGAGAAGGAGGTCCGCAGCCGACTCAGGTCTGAATGCTCACGCCCTTCCCTGCCGGATAAGGTCGCTCAGACCCCTGAATTCGACAAGGTCATGTCGACCTTCATGATGCGCAGTGGTAGAGACCCTCGCCGAGGGGTAGAGAAAGGTCTATGGGGCGCCCAGGATAACCTGCTGGATTCCGTAGGCCCCCTGGCTCGCATTATGTATCTGGCGGATGATGCCTACGCCAAAGCCGACTCCTTCTCTGCCGAGGACATCAGGGAATGGGCACATGACGTTCGTGAATGGGCACAACGGTGTTTTTGTTTCATTGGAAACACTAATGTTACGCTCTCTTCGGAGAGACGAAAAGCAGCGTTATACCGTATTAACGGTAAATTGGCAGACCTTGGCACAAAGGAGATTGGGCCCCAGGCACAAGGAAAACTATTTGGCGAACCGTTCCTCAAGGAACTCAAACACGTAAACGTGTTCACCTCCCTTAATAAGGCGCAATCCTCTATGCGCAGAGTTTTCAGGAGCAACCCTACCAGAGGGGTTTTTGGAAGGGCTGGCCGGCAGCGGGGCCATGCCGTCAGCCGCTTTTGGCCTTCAGGCCCCCGCACCCAACCAACACCGTTCTACCCGACAAGGGACTATCGGCAGCAACCCTTTTCCAGAGGCTCGGATAGAGGTCGTGGACCCCGCGGACGCGGACGTTCCCGCTTTGCTGACGCCTCTCCCTACGCCATGTTCCTCCACTGTTACCATGCACCCGCACTGCAGGCCGTATTTCCCTTTCTTTCCAGAATTGGGCCGCCCTATGCTCAGACACATGGATCCTACAAACAGTACAGGGATATATCATAGACCTAGTGGGGACCCCCTTTCAGGTTCAGCCCCCTCGCCCCATCCACATGTCGTCCTCCGACCACAACCTCGTCAACGCGGAGCTACGTGAGCTCCGAGACAAAGGGGCCATCCAGCCGGCCCACGACGAGGGTGGTTACTTCAGCAACATCTTTCTGGTTCGGAAAAAGTCAGGAGAATACCGACCGGTCATCAATCTACGCGCCCTCAACGCACATGTGGTCTATCGCCACTTCAAGATGGAGGGCATCCACCTCCTGCGAGACCTTCTTCGAAGCAACGACTGGTTCACCAGGCTCGATTTGAAAGATGCATATCTGTCAGTCCTGGTGCACCCGGACTGTCGAGCACTCCTACGTTTCCTCTGGCACGGACGCCCTTGGCAATTCACTTGCCTCTCTTTCGGGCTCAGCTCAGCCCCATGGTGCTTCACCAAGCTTCTAAAACCAGTGGTGGCCCACCTGAGATCCAGGGGCATTCGATGCATCATCTACTTAGACGACCTTCTCCTCTTCTGCTCCGATGAACACAGACTACGCCAACACACTCACTTGGCAGTGTCCCTACTGGAATCTCTGGGTTTCGTGGTAAACCAACCGAAATCGGAACTGACCCCTACTCAGACGATACAATTCCTCGGCTTCGAGATCGACTCGACGACATGCACTCTGAGACTACCAGCCTCAAAGATCACAGCCATTCGCAAGGAGATTCGCAGGGTTCTCCGTCTCGACTCCATTCCACTACGCAACCTGGCCAGGATTGTACGACTCCTCTCTGCTTCCATTCAAGCCATATTTCCGGGTCCCCTCCACTACAGGGCCATGCAACGTCTCAAGGCGAAATACCTACGCCACAGACCTAGTTACGACCAACCCGTCCCGGTGACGACGGAGGTTCGCGAAGAACTATCATGGTGGCTGGACAGCATGCAAGCCTGGAACGGCAAGGCCATATTCGGAGACACCCCAGACTTCGTATTGGAATCAGACGCCAGCCTGTGGGGATGGGGTGCCACCAACGGAACCATCTCCACGGGAGGAACATGGACGGCACAGGAGCTCTCCATGCACATCAATTGTCTCGAACTCCTGGCGGGATCCTTCGCGATCCGCAGCCTGGCCCGGGAAAGATCCAACTGCTGCATCCTCCTGCGCATGGACAATGTCTCCGCAGTCCAGTACATCAACCGTCTGGGAGGCGCTCGCTCACGCCTGCTGTCGGATATCACAAGGAACATCTTCGACTACTGCCTCCCTAGCAATATCACGCTTCAGGCGGAATACTTACCGGGAGAAATCAACCTCACAGCCGACTGGTTCTCTCGCCACTGGAGAGACGTCAGCGACTGGAAGCTAAACACGAGAATCTTCAGGGCCCTGACAGCCCGGAGAGGTCCCTTTCACCTGGATCTGTTTGCCTCTCGCAACAATCACCAGACCCCGGAGTTCTTCAGCTGGCTCCCGGACCCGGAGAGCAAGGCGACAGACGCATTTCTCCAACAATGGCCGTCGACAGGAGCCTACGCCTTTCCCCCATTCTCCATGATTGCGAGAACACTACACCAGATGCGGACGCAACAGATCAAACTGGTTGTCATAGCGCCCTTGTGGCAGAGCCAACCATGGTTCCCGGACCTCCTGGCCTCCTCCTACAGGGACCCTCTCCTCCTACCATCCTTCCCGGACCTGCTCACGGATCCCAAAGGGTATCTCCACCCACTACTCCTGGAAGACCGGCTACCCCTGGTGGCTTGGTCTCTTTCTGGGGTTCCTGGCGAGTCAGCGGACTATCGCAGGCTGCTAGGGACCTCTTATGGGACTCATGGGCCCCGGGAACTAGACGCTGTTACCTTTCAGCTTGGGCCTCCTAGTCTACTTGGTGCATGGAACGGGACTCCGATCGCTTTACAGCACCTATTCCCATGATTCTTAATTTTCTTTCCACCTTGTTTTCATCTGGCCGCTCTTACCGTTCGGTCAACGTCGTTTGCTCCGCAATTTCGGCGGCTCACACCCCTGTCGGGGGATCTCCCGGTCGGCAAAGACCCTCTGGTCTGCTGTCTACTCCGCGGTATGCGGCTCCGCCGCCCCCCGGCCCCCAGATACCCTCACCTATGGGATGTGGGACTGGTTCTCCGTTTTTTCAGGGATTGGCTTCCGAATGACCGCCTCTCCCTACGCCAACTATCCGCTAAGTGTGCTTTTCTCCTTTGTCTAGTATCTTTCCGACAGGTTTCGGACGTTAGGGCCTTCGACGTGGACGCTTTCGAGGTGGCCCCGGAAGGGGTCACGTTCCACATTTCCCGTCGCACTAAATTGGGTTCGACTTCGGTCTTCTACCCCTTTTTCCCCGACGACCCGCAACTCTGTGTCGTGTCCACCCTTCGCAGGTATGTTTCCGTTACCTCCTCACTCCGATCCTCTACGTCGGGCCAACTCCTAGTCTCCTACGTGCACCCTCACGCCCCAGTCTCGGTCACCACTCTGGCCCGATGGATCCGCTGGATCCTTTCCCTCGCAGGTATAGATCCCGCGTTCGGCGCCCACTCCGTTCACGGTGCGGCGGCTTCATCAGCCTTCCTGGCAGGGGCGTCCCTCTCGGATATTCTCCGAACGGCGGACTGGTCTAGGGAATCCACTTTCCGTACATTTTATTTTCGCACTCCCCCTTCTGCTGGGATGTCACTTCTTCAGCATTAAAATTGCAAAATAGGAAGCCTCCTGTCATGTTATAAAATTGAAGATTATGCTAGCTTTAGTGTACTAATAATCTTAATTTTAATAAGGACAGGAGGCGAGTATTTTCCCTCCCTTTTGTTCCCTACCCTGACTCCTCGGGGGAGTGGATCTTAAGGTGATGGATTTTGGGATTCATATTAGTAGTTCCACTATCTTCTGGACATATTCGGTATCCCTTCCATCTCTATTCCCAGTGTTTCCACCTAGACGGACAGTTTAGTTGTACAACATGCTTACACCTAACACATATTTAGCCTATGGCCAGCTTACAATCTGTCTGTACTGTTTAATTTACACCATTCTGTTAAAGCCCACAGGCGTGGACAATTACGGTTCAGTACCTAACCGATTTTATACTCTCCTTTCAGTGTAACCCTCTTCAGGACCTCCACTGGTCGCTGGTTCGTTAACCTCACGACTCCGTAAGATGGGATGACTGCTTCGTTTGGTCTTTCCTCCTATCTCGTTACTAGGAGTCTCCTCAAGTTCCGCTCGCCAGAGACCGCAGTTGCTGTTTCGTTGAGTTTCTGGATATTCGAGCTCTATCTGGACTTGGATGTCGCTTTAAGAAAGAGGAAGTGTACAGGCAGCATGACCCTTATATACTATGCTGCTCAGTGATTTATTTGTTACTCTTTACGTTTTTCTTTACTGCTGTGGAGTTTAGTAAAGAGAGTTAATGCAAAATACTCGCCTCCTGTCCTTATTAAAATTAAGATTATTAGTACACTAAAGCTAGCATAATCTTCAATTTGTCAATCTAGGGACAAATTACTTGGCTTGCAATGAGGTTTCAGAGGTTAAGGAAGTTTTTAGTGTTTTTGCCAATGCTATACGGCAGGTTGCTTTCACACTGTCATTCTCTGAAGTTCTGCCTGTGCATAACACTCAGAATGATAGGCGGATGCGTATTACGGACTTTAACTTGTGGCTTGGTGAATGGTGTTGGGAGCAAGGATTTGGCTTTATTTCTCATGGTAGCTCTGTGTGGAATGGACATAAACTGTACAAAAAAGATGGTTTGCATCTTTCTCAAAAGGGAACAAATGTTCTCAGTGAGCAGTTCAGAGGGTGTATTTAAACTAGGAGGGGGGGGCAAAAGGGTGATAAAACATCAATCCAATTGTCCCCCAAAACAAGGAGAGAAGGTGCCTGTAGCAAGTGTGTTAAAAAATGATAAGCTTCGAGTCATGTCTACAAATGCTTGCAGTTTAGGAATAAGATCCATGAACTTGTGGCAATAATGGCAACTGATAATGTAGATTTAGTCGCTGTTACGGAGACATGGTATAATGAGTAAAATGACTGGGACATAGCAATACCAGGGTACTCTTTGTATAGAAAAGACAGGGAAGGCAAGAAAGGGGAGGGGTGGCCCTGTATGTGAAGGATAGCATAAAATCTAGCCTAATAAAAGTTAGTGAGGCAAACAGTCCGTTTGGGCTACGTTAAAATTTGGTAATCACACTAACTCGTGTAGGTCTGATTTATAGGCCCCCAGGACAAATAGAAGAGTTAGATAATGTACTAGTTGAGGATATAGCTAAATTAACAATGAAGGGGGAAGTTATCATCATGGGTGACTTTAATCTTAATCTTCCTGATTTGAATTGGAAAACAAAAATAGCCGCTTGTGCCGAGGACACACATATTCTAAACTCCCTACTGGGATTGTATCTGTAGCGGAATGCCAATAATAAATCCACGAATTCCGCTGGTCCAGAAACGAATCCACAGTCAAGCGCTGAAACAACAAGGCGATATCCCCAACCTCCCAATAACCGGACGAGACACAATTTTGGGAGTCAACTAAAATCCTTTTAATCAGCAGGACAATTTATACAAGTCCCCATGCAAGGGGTTTCCTGAGTCCCTCCCCAGGGGCACTCCCAGAGGGGACTACATGGGGGACTTACATGACAACATATTTCTCCCATCAGGCACCGCTGCACGAGAGGGATCATCCTCCCAGAATGCACCGTTAAGGGGATTATCCCCTCGTGCAGCAGAACCGGCAATTCACACAAAAATCTAACTTATTAAATACACGGTGGATTTACACGAATGGACGTTCGGTAGATAGCTGGGGTCTGAGCGCATCATTCGTGAGATTGCCGCTCAGATCCCAGCTAAAATAACCGAACGCCGCACAGAAAACACATTTCTTTTAAAACATATGAAAAGGACCGATTACTTCTAGTGAACACGATCCTGAAACTCCCGAACGTCCTGGAGGCTCAGCGGTGTTCGTGCCGTCGAATAGCTATTGGTAATACTATGCGTTCGACAACTCGGTCCCGCTGAGGAACAAAGGATCCAAGATGGCCGACCGCTGCATGGTCGGTAGTCGAACGACGGCCACCCAGGAGAGCCTCTAATAACCAATTGCAACAATGTTGCAATCGGTTAACTAGCGCCACACGCCTCTAAGTGGGTGGGCTATTAGGGGGTATCGCGTTCGGTTCACGAACGGCTTTCTACAGTGCTGTTCATGAAACGAAAGAAAATCCCCATACAAAACCGCCATTTGCATTCGGCGGAAACAGCAGTACAGGCAATACAGAAAATACATTAACATCTACATAAGTGTAAAGCGCATATCTCGCCCGACCTATTGGCAACCCTTAAAGGCACAGTCTCTAGTTATTGTCCAAGTGGCTAGGTTTGCCACAGTATCTAAAACAAGTCGTTGAGGAACCAACTCGTAAAGAGGCCATACTAGATTTAGTGTTAACAAATGGAGATTTGGTATCAGATAATACTGTAGATGAAAGTTTAGGATCGAGTGATCAGTCAGTGTGGTTTAATACAAGAACAGTGACTGAGTCACACAACACAAAAACAAAAGTTATAGACTTTAAAAAAAAAAACATACAAAAAACCCCAGACTTTTCTAAAATTAGAATAGGTGTAAAGGAGTCATTATCAGACTGGAGCAATTTAAATGGAGTCCAAGAGAAATGGGATAATTTAAAAGTTGCACTGCTGAAGGCAATAGAAAATTGCATTAGGCTTGCCAGTGCAAGCAAAAAAAAAAGAAACCACTGTGGTACACCGCAGATGTTGCCAAAATAGTAAAAAACAAAAAGTTAGCATTTAGTAATTATTAAATTCAAAACAAATAAAAAAATTGAGGAAGACAGAATGAGGCTAAACAAGTGATAAGAGCTTCCAAATCACACACAGAAGAGAAAATAGCACAGTCAGAAAAAAAGGGGGACAAAACATTTTTTAGATACATAAATGAGAAAAGGAAAGTGAAACAAGGATTAATTAGATTAAAAACAAAAGAAGGAAGGTATGTAGAAGAGGATAAAGGTCTAGCTTTCCTGCCTTCAATGAATATTCTTGTTCAGTATTTATAGATGAAAATGAAGGAAAGGGACCTCAGTTAGGAAAAAGGGCAAATGAGTCATTTATTACATGTGAGTTTACAGAGGAAGAGGTTCTAGTTCAACTGTCAAAAGTAAAGACAAATAAGTCAATGGGACCTGATGGAATATTACCAAAGTTATTA